AGGGTCTGTACGCGCGGCGGGGACGGTGGGCGTCGCAAAAGCTGAAGGGCGTGCGCATGCACGAGGTCTGGTGAGTTGCTGTCACACGTGTCGCTCTCGACAACGACGGCAGGCGAAGAATCGTGCTCGGGGCCCGTCCAACTGCTCCATGTTTCTGGAGGTCCTGCGCCTTCTCCAGCATAAAGTTGTCCTTGCGGCATATCCAGTACTGGAGGTCGGTGCACACGGTGACCAGCGACGAAATCCGCGCGGGACGCCACTTGCCTTTTGTCCTCGACGCACCTCGCAGCCATCGCATGGTCGCCCCTGTCTTCGCGCTCCACGAGTGGGACTTCTGCACTGTCGTCGTCGATCGCGCCCGACGATCCTCTAGCAAGCACAAGGACGTCCACGCGGAGCAGACTGTTCTTATCGTCGCGGACAACTCTACGTCGTTCGGAGGTGCGGCGTCATTCACCACCAAAGATCTTGTTCTCGCCGCGGAGCGCTCTCGCCAACCACTGCGACACTAGTGCACGGGAATCATGTCTACGTGAGGGGCCGAACGTGGCAAGAAGCGGGAGAACGTCCCTGCTGAAACCCAGGGGCGGGCAGGGGGTCGGCGGCATGTCCCCAAGTTGAAGAGGCTCCGTTCAGAAGAGCCATCACCAAAGGACCCTGTCCGGCGAGGGCGGTATTGGGCGGCATCGAACGAAGACGAAGATGACGACGTGTTCACGACAGAGGAGGAAGCAGCAGATGACACCGTGGCGGCACCCCGGGGCAGCAGTCTTCAAACGAAGAATGATCAAGCCGCACCAAGGAGATTGCTCACACCCCCCCCGGAGAGGCAACAAGGTCGTGGGCAGAGCAACACAAAAGCTAAGGAGATTGTCGTCGACGTCGGCGACGAGGACAATAAGCCATTGGAAAGCCTCAGGCAGCGAAATGCAATGCAAGGTGCCACCGCGACGGGAGTAAGGCTACGCGCTGCGCATGAAGAAAGGCCACCTCAGGGCGCCATGCCGTCCACGCCCTCACAACCGCGACTGTGCAACACGGCTGCAGATGGAGGATCTACCGAACGCGGGGGAGGTGCGGTGGCCCAGCAAGAAGCGCGCGTGGCGAGCGCTGGTGCAGGCGCGGGGTGCTCGGGCAATGTCGCTGTCGTGGCGGGGGCGAGAGAGGAGGTTCCTGTTGTGGATCGGGAGGTTGCGCGCGGTGAGAATAAGGGCGAAAAAGAGGATGACGACCCCCTTTTAAGCCGGGAGCGGAGGGGAGGGTTGGCGAGAGATCTTGCCGACCGTGCCCGCTTGTGGGTCGACGACAAAGCGTTCTGGACAACGGGGAAGGGGCGCCGGCTCTACGACATCGTCCACCGAATGCGGGAGCACTTCGAGGCCGTCGCCAGCGGGGTGCAAGCGCCCGTCGTGTCCAGGAGCGTCGTCATGCCGAAATCCGCGACGACCCTCACGAGGATTGTTGATCCCGCTCAACTACAGCAAGCGATCATCCGCCGGGGGGCTGCAGAGAACATAGTTCTGCGCCTCTTGCATGGGTGGGTGTTCAAGTCAGGGAACCGCCCCCGCGGATACAATCTCGCTTTCCAGTACGCGTTGGAGTCGGTGGCGACGAACCTTGTGCGCGTTATGTGGTACGGTGAGGAGTGGAGCAACGTGGTGAGCGTGCCCGTTTGCGCGCACACGATCGACCTCAATATGGACATGCCACTGTGGTTTGTGGGAATGAACATCGACGACAGGCCGGAGGACGACGACATGGCTACGTACCAGGAGTCGACCGTCATGTGAGTCGCGCATGCATTTCTCGTCGTCGTGCAAATGGGTGGCAGCGTCGACGACGGGTTCATATCGCACGATCGTCTGTCGAGGATCGCGGATTGCTTCAGGCTGTTGTTGGCTGCCTGCATGTGGTTGATGCGCATGGCGGGAGACGATCATCGCAGCCACTACGAAGCCTTCTACTTCGCGCAGCTGGTCGCGAAGCCCACGCTGATCGCGTCCATGCATCGCGCCTTCGATCATCGAAGGTCCGTCATCCGAGTGACGAACGTCGTCATGGAGAGACTGGAGAAGGCGAACGCCACCTTAGGAGAGTACCCGAAGTCAACAAAAAAATTGTGGTCATTTTTTTGGGGGGTTTATCAAATGTGTGCACCCCTTTTGAACTGTTGGTTTCGTGTTAATAAACAGTTTGGCGGGGGTGGTGTCATGTGTTCCTCCAAAAGTGAAGGAACTCAATGTTGATAACATATGTCATAAATATGCGACACTGTGTTCAACGCTTGTTCAATTGTTGACAAACTATTGAAAAACTGTTGAAAAGTTGTTGAAAAGTTGTTTACAAGTTGTTGAAAATGTGATGATCAACTGTTGAACATTGCAGATATTATTGGGAATATTTGAAATTCGTAAGAAAACTGACCCTGTTGCTATTTATCACCTTCATGAGAGAGAGAGAGAGAGAGAGAGAGAGAGAGAGAGAGAGAGAGAGAGAGAGAGAGAGAGAGAGAGAGAGAGAGGTGACCCTGTTACTATTTATCACGTTCATCTTAGTCTGTGTTACTCCTGTGAATCTTGAATGCAGCGCCATGGGCAAATGTTCGATGGATGTGAACGAGATTGACACGCGGGTTGGCTACCGGGTGCCAATTTCCAGCATCAGTTCCATGCATGGCAAGAACATGGCACGCAGTAGTCAACCAGTCACGTACTTCTCACCCAGCAATAAGATGAACATGTTTTGTAGTGCTTTTGACATCATATTCAACATTTTTGGAAGTGCGTAATGCGTTTTCTGCTTATTTTTGTCAAACACAATTCATGGTATTGCAAAATCACATGACGCATTGCGTATCCTTGCAAGACAAGCAACGATGTGTACACTGAATTGATAGTGAGTAATGTGAGATGCGAAGCGCAAATGCTACGTGATGGTCGAAACACATCCACGACAGGTCTTGTACAAGATCATTTGTTAAATAACACATGTTTGCTTATTGCACACTCAGCCCAAAGGGTTCTCCAGAGTCTTTTTTTTTTTCAAATAATAACTCTCTCTCTCTCTCTCTCTCTCTCTCTCTCTCTCTCTCTCTCTCTCTCTCTCGTTTTACGCTTTGCTCCTCATTGGCTGTGTGTCAAGCCACTGACTGTCAGTGGAGGTGCAACTCATGTCCCCTCCAACACCATCGCCCACCTCCCTCCCCACCCTGTCCTTSTTCYATCSCCAACCCCCCTCGATCCACTTCCGGACCCCTTCTTCTCCTTTTCAYGGCCTTGCGYACARACKTTCTTCGTCTCTYTCTCTGCCYGCACATTTGTCCACGGTGTGCGCAATGAACTCAAGGTCAAAATCATCATCTGTTGTTGTCATGTTATTGGCATCTCCTCTCTGCACAGCAGGCAACCCAGCTCTGTACAATGCGACGGCCTTGTCTGGAACAGAAACAGCACGATTGAGCTTGAAGATAAAAAAGCTTAAGACCGTGTCTCAGGAGCGGACCGATGCAACGATCTCTTTCTTGATAGCTGCAAGTTTCTGTATTTGGTCCCCTGCTTTACTGGTCTTTGCCGTCTGCTCGACTTCACTTTTCAGTACCAGCTCTGCAAATGCTAGTTCCTGCAACGTTACGCCAAGATTGATCCCATCTCTTCTCATTTGAAAAACTTTTGTCAGTGCTGTCTTGAAAGGAGGAGCGCCCCACGGATCATTGCCGCTCCTTCTCCATGTTGTGTCCCCCTTCATCTCTGCCCGCATCCTGTTGCGAGTCGGAAGCTGGTGATCCGTTTGAGCTGACCGGACTAGCGGCAGACCTTTTTTGTCTCAAAACCAATGCTTCAATTGCCATGATATCTCCCCTCGGATCGTTGTCATAATCCGATTGCATTCCCCGATCACAGCTTGGATTCTGTTCGCTTCCACGTGCAACCTTAGTCCATCCTCGGCATGTTCTCCTATTGATTTTGCAGTTGTTTGCAGTGCCGTGAAAAAATTGTCCTCCGATGGGTACAGTGTCGCATCCTTTGTTGCTGAGAAAGCAAAGACCTTTGTCACTGAACGAAACAGTCTGTCTTTCAATTTCTTCGTAAGCCCCCCGGTTTGTTGCTCTGTTGGTTCGCCAGCATTACCTCCACATGTGCTGCTTCACCTTTGGAAATTAGTGCAATTTGGGAAAAAAACAAAAAGCAGACCAACAGATTAATGGTTTAGTGATAAGAAGACCCTTTGCGATATGTGTTTTATGTATGGCAATCAGAAACTGACATAAGACCGCCACTCCCCCTCCCCGATCCAC